CATTTTTATAGACGAAATTCCAATATAATTTAAAAATTAAATTTATTTAAAATTTAAATAAATTTAAATATTAGATACAGTTTTGCTATATTGTATTGAACAGCATTTCACCTTAAAAATTATAAATATTATACATACAAATATATTTGAAATATAATTAATTATATAATATTCAGAAAATAATATTGCCTTATTATTAGATATAATCTGTTTATAAAATCTTATGTGTATATATGTGTGTGTATGTGTGTGATTAATTACGGTGGAAAATTTTATTTAAAAGCAATATCATATTATATAATTATGCATGATTTTATTAATATAACTGACGTTTTCAGTATATGTAATGGAATCAGGGTACATTCAGAAGAAGACCGATTTTGCAACTCGTACATCGCCACCATCGTAGTAGTTCACCATCATAGTACGTTATACATTGCAAAAATAGACAAACAAATTTTTCATAAATGAAATTTTATTTTCAGAGAACGTATATATATATACCTTTTATATATATATATATATATACCTTTTCATAAAAACAAAATATGAGAATATATAACAGTTAACTATTGGGTTGGCAAATAAGTTCGTTCGGTTTTTTAGAGTAGAATAAAACACAATTTTTTGATACACAAGATAAATTTTAATCAATTATATATTGGCCATCTTTATCGATAATCTCTAGCCATTTTCCACCAACTTCATTATGCCGCGTTCGTAAAACGTCTGGGGCTTATCGGCGAAAAACCAATCCAGGTGATTTTTAACGGCCTCTTCATCCTTGAAGGTTTTCCCATTCATAGAGTTCTGCAACGACCGGAATAAATGATAATCGAAAGGGACAAGATCCGGTGAATACGGAGGATGAAGCAAAACATCCCAGCCGAGCTGAAGCAATTTGTTCCGAATGGTCAATGACATATGAAGTCTGACGTTGTCGTGGTGGAAGACGATACCCTTGCGATTTGCCCATTCTGGACGTTTTGTGCGGATTGCTTGCTTCAATTTCGTCAACTGCGAACAGTATACAGTTGAATCAATCGTTTTGCCTGACGGTAACAGTTCGTAATAGATGACACCCTTGAAATCCCACCACACGGAGAGCATTATTTTCTTTGGATGCAATCCCGCCTTCGAGGTTGTTTGCGATGGCTCGCTGCTGTGCCCCCATGATCTTTTACGCGTTACATTATCGTAGACAACCCATTTTTCGTCACCTGTCACCATTCATTTGAAAAATGGGTCGTTTTCTTGGCGTTTCCGTAGCGAATCGCAAATGGATATGCGTGTGGTCAAGTTAGCCTCGGTTAATCGATGCGGCACCCAAACATTAAGCCGAGAAACATATCCCAGTTGGCGCAAATACTTTTCTATGCTTGTGTGGGATATATTCAATGTTGTAGCAATCTCTCGTAGCGATTTGGATGGATTTACTTCGATTATAGCCTTAATATTACTTGAATTAATCTCAGTCGGACGACCGGAGCGGAGCGCATCATTGACGTCGAAATCTCCAGAACGGAAATTGGCATACCACTTTTGGCATACGCGTTCTGTTAAGGCATCATCTCCATACACACGGCATATCTTTTTATGAGCATTCGCAGCTCGTTTGCCTTTTTTAAAATAATAGAGCAAAATGTGACGATAATGCACGTTATTTATTTCCATATTCACAGCTACGCAGTACACACAATACTGATGTTAGCTAAATCAAACACAGCACAACATAAACAGTGAAACATAACCTTTCAAATGTGTATTCGATTTGCACGATAGCGCTGAGAAAAGGAAAGCGAATCCGCATGAAACTTACACTGAAACAAAAACCGAACGAACTTATTTGCCAACCCAATATTATTATATATAAATGATTCGTATTATTATTATATATTGAAATGTTTTATGATTACTCTACATATCAATATTAATCGTCCCTTACTATGGAAAAGTTTAAAAAGAACATGTTGCTTATACATATCGAGAAGGTAAGCGGCTACGAATAACGTTAAGAATATATGGAAGTGTTCCCATTTATTTTCCGAGAAGTCCATATGTCGGAAAATGACATTATTATACAGGTATGTCCTATTTTAATCAACGCATTTAAATTTTTCGGATTTTATGCGAGATATGACGAAATCCTTTTTTACGAAGTTGTATCGAGGGAAATATATTTTGAGAAAACATTTGATCTTAGGTAGAAGCGTCAAGATTAAATTGAGGACAACTTTATTTTTTAAATATCAACATATTTTGTTAAATACCTATGTTTGTAGTCTTTCTTATAAAGCATTATTTAACTGAATCTAAAGTCGTCGAAAGTTACATTACCAAGTACAAGCTTACAAGACCGCCGTACAGAAGGCAGCCGGCGGAACAAACAATGCATGATGGGCGATCTAACCTCAGGTGCCGCGACTCACTTGTAAGCGACTAACCGCTGTCGACATCCTATCCGGCCTGTTTTTTACAACAGTCTGCTAAAATAGTTCGCTAGTAATGCTTTCAAATGTGCTATGATCATTTAGAAATTGTATTGTCTTCTGCATTTATAGCCAGGGACGAAATTTGAACGTGTATAAAAAGAATAATTGTATTTGGCTATTTGACCTTCGACGATTTTAGGTTATAGTGCGTTCAGCTTATAATAAGGACTACAAACATAGGTGCTTAAAAAAATATGTTACCATTTAAAAAAATTAAGTTGACCTCGGTATGATCACGCTTTTACTAAAGGTCAAATTCCTTTTTATTAAAATATGAACTCTTCGGCACCATATAACTTCGTAAAAAAGGATTTCTATATCTTACATGATTTCTAAGAAATTCAAGTGTATTGATTAAAATAGTACACCCTATATATATGGTTGAATTTATCCATTTATTGACATGAAATATCTTTTCATTTGATAGGAACAAAAATCTTAGATTATAAAAAATTGGAATGGTGTTTAAATGTTTAAAATTATAATATTTTTTACAAAATTAGAAGCACCATTATAAAGTACTCTTTCATTTAATTTTTATTCGGAAAGTTTTTTTATTTCTTATATTTTTATCGATGCATGCTACGAAAAAGATACCGTTTTGTCTCAAAAAAGTGTTTCACCATCTAATAGACCGATTGGATATATATAAAAAAAATATGTGTTCCTTATTTTGATCTAGATTACGTCATATTCCAAGCTCATCAAAATCGAAGGGAGACGCTTCCATATATTTCCTCGTTAGTAAGATGACCTCAACAATACAAAGTCTTCCATTAAGAGATTTCCTTTTAAATTTTGCGACATTTTTTATCTGCCACAAATGGAGCTATCATATTTGATAGTTGGCGAGTAAAAACTATGCGGTTAATAACAATAGATCGATATTTGCTTGAGTAAGGTATGAAAATGATAAAAATTCATTACAAATATGGTGAAAATTTTACAAACACAGTTTGAAAAATCCGTACCAGTTCCGGTCGCAGAGAAGTGCCTTCTTGTCCAGTAATTTAATCGATAAATTTGAACGTCTCGGCTAGATTAGTGATGTTAAGAAACCAACTTGTGCTTGACCAACCAGATTAACCGAAAACATTATTGCTGTTGCTGAAAGTATTGTGGAAAATCTAAATGAAAAACAGGTTTGTCTATTGCAAGACGTTCGCAACAATTGGACATTTCACAAATCAGTACCGCATTTTGCACAGAGATCGTGGCCTATATATTTACAAGATCCAACTTGTAACGCAAGTATTAATATTAACCATGTACTACGCCGTACATTCGTCAATTGAGTATTCGAAATGTAAGCGGTTGATTTTTTCAAGAAAATCATTTTGAGTGATGAGACCCATTTCCACCTTCAAGACTACGTCAATAAACATAACTACCGCTTCTGGGACATTGAAAACCCAAGAGTGATTAGTAAACAACCTCTCCATCCACAACAGTTTGATACGGTTTTTGGACTCGCGGCATCATCAGGCTGTATTTTTTCGAAAACGGTGCTATCGTCACAGTAAATGGATTGCGATACTAAAAGATGCTGGCTTTTTTGGCCTGAAATTGAAGAACTGGAATTGGACGATGTTTATTTTCAGCAGGATGGGACGGATACGTACCACAAGCCGTGACATGATCGCATTATTACGTGAGAAATTTCCTGAACGTGTCAATTCGCGTAACGGAGACTTCAATTGATCCCCATGATCGTGTGATTTGACACCGCTGACATCTTCCTTTATATGAAGGATAAGATTTACACCAATGCTCCGCAAACGTTTTAGGCGCCTAAAGATAATATTTAAACTGTCATTGGCAAAATTGAGATGCAATTGAAAATGTGATGAAAAATTTGTTCAAAAGAATGAAGATTTGCAAGAAAAGTCGAGGCGGTTTTTTAGCTGATATTGTGTTCCACGCTTAATCGTACAGTATGTATTTTGGATTGGAATAAAAATATCACAAATTGTCCAAAAACAAATTCTTTTATTCATCTAAAATGAAGTCTCTTAATAGAAGATCCTGTATCAAGATCAAAGTCCAAGTTCCAACAGCTGACTTTTCTAAATGAAATAATTACCAAAGAAGTTATAATTACCAAAGAAATTACATTTCTCTTTAATAATTTTTTAACGAATGAATAAAAGTCGACTGTAAAACCTAAAAGGATAAGGACTATAAAACTTGGAAGGCAATTAACAACATATCTAACAGTTCTTAACAACATATCCAACAGACAAAACGATTAGAGTTGAATCCCTTATGTGTAATAATTACCTTTTATACTTGAAAGTGATTCTTAAAAAGATAAGCCGTGTAGATCGAGATTTAATCACAAGCAAAATATAATAAAGCAGAGAAAGCAAATTTGCTTCGAGTAAGAAATCTAGAGAGTCGATAATTAAGCAATTTTTTATGAGAACATAACATAAATTTAAGCGACATAGACGAAAAGTTACACAAAATAAAGGATAAAACGTAGGCAAGGGATATTGGGTGTTACAGATGCTGGTTTCTGCTGTGGAATGAGATGGCCTGGTGACACTACCGGCTTGACAAACCGGTCATCGACCTTCTCTAACGACCCCAAGAACCTGAACAATAACCACTACACGCCGCACCAATACCTCCGCACTCACCTTCGCGGTCCGTTCTTTAGATATTACTTCTTGTTATTAAGTAATGTCATCCATATAGAATATAATATACTTATTATCATGATATTTTGAACGTGATTTGGTCTACTCAACTTATTCAGTACCGACTCGATCTATTCGACTTACTTCCTTTATTCGACCTTATATCCGAATTTTTTTTTAATAAATTGCGTTTATATATGTATATATACGTGTATATGTTTGTGTGTATATGTATATATGTATGTATGTATGTATATATATATATATATATAAATACATATACACATGTATATACACACACATATATACATATATATGTAAATATATAAACATATAAAAAATTATTTTACTAGCTTGAATATATTACGAAAATTTGTTAACCTAAGATGCAAAATATATAATGCTAATATGTTAAAATGTATTTTTTTTGTTTGCGAATATATAATTAATGCGTATTAATAATTCGAGAAGTGAAAATTTTTTAACAGGAATATCTTTTAGGAATAACTTCTAGGAAGACTGTACTTTGATTCGTTACTACTTTCACATAGATTGTTAGATTTTTGTTTTGATTTAATGCGGAGTAAATTAAATAATTGAATACTTTGAGAAATACTATATACTTATAGTCGCAAATATAACCAATTGTAGGTGACTATTAATCAATGACTGATGCAATAGTTGGTCGAGTTAAGTACTGAATGAGACGTGTGTTGGCCTCTCATGCGAGAATTTAGGGTCAATATACACATATGCGTGTGTATCTTCGTACAATATATGTGAAAATTAATTTAATTTTATCGCAATAAACTACATAATTTATCATATCTTAGGAAAAGGTACTAAAACAATACATTCATTGGTTTGTTTCAGTCTATACAATCAATTGTATCAGTTTGTACAATATATGTATATATATTAATATTTATTTATATAATATTACATACACACACATACATACACACACATATACATATAGTTAATTATTTATTATTTATTAAATTTTCACGGATAATAAAAGATTAAGAATTAGTTTAAGATAAAAAGAAAATAGAACTTGTGGAACAGGAATGGTGTCGGAGTATTAATATAAAATCATTATCCGTCCGAATGCATTATTCGCACTGGTGATCGATACTGTCGACCTAAACCTTTGTTGTATAATTTTAGTATTTTAGCAATTTCGTACATGTATTCGTACATTTATACATATATACATGTACAAAAGGACAGATAAATAAGGCATTATCTATAACACTATTGACCAACTAAGGAATGATGTGAACTCGATGTTTAATTGTACAATGTTTGACAGTAAACAGAGAGATACAATCATGATTCGCACTACGAGCTCGTGTCTGTGGGACTGTGACTTGTGATGTGTATGTTTAGTTGTGGCAGCGGACCTTTCCTGACCTCTGCAATCATTACAAATCGTTTCTCATTCACTACATCTCCCGATTTTACTCCAATATGTCGATCTCAGTCGATCGCAGTGCTCAGACACTACTTACAAAACTTCATTCACATATAGACCTTCCCTTACGTGAGAATCGATGGAATATAACCCAACGAAAGCTTATTTCCGCCTCCACTTCGAATAATATAAAATGCTCGTCCTCGGCGGCTTATAAAACTCTTGATTATTTTGCTCACGCTGCAAACTAAATATTGTATTCAGATAACATTAGTATTTCCATAATTATTCAAATTATTCAAATTAGTAATGACGCTAAATTATTCGGATAATACCTGATTGCGCTTCTCCGACATTTACGCTGTATATTTATCAGCAAGTGCCATTTCGAATTAATTTTTACAGATGAATGTTTCCGTGGAGAGAGCCGATGTCTCTTAATAACGGCTACTGTCGAGAGAAAGAGAGAGAGAGAGAGAGAGAGAGAGAGAGAGAGAGAAAGAAAATCGAGTCTGACGAATAAGCTACCGCGATAAAATATGCTGTCCGCTTCCATCACCTATAAGCGTAGCAAGTTGAGATGGATTATGTCAGTATAAAAGTTGGCCGTCGATCGCAGGATCTACATTCCAGTCAAAGTAGCTTGACCTTTATGCTCAATGCATTGACTTGTTAATGTTCGTTTTACCGTGTACGATACGTTTTTATAAAAGATCGATTATGACGTGTTTATAAATCGGCAACGCGTCAATGATTTTTTGTTTCTCTCCAAAGCTCATTACGTCTATGATCAATGTGATCATATTATATATATGTAATATATAGGTATCGTTAAAATAATATAAAACGACAGAATATTGCGAATTTCTTCGAAAAATATCTCTTCGATACGCGAAAGAATATAGTGTCATCGAAATCAGTCCGGCGAAAGATACGGCTGTGTCTTTCTGTTCACAGGGCTCTCATACTCAAACGTTAGAATCAATCGCAAATCATCAGAATAAACTATGGAGAGATCATATATCCCATCTCTGATCCACAACTCTATCTTGTCTACTTCTCGCAGTAAACAAATCTATCTTAATTACGTTCATACGCGACCGGATCGCTGGTTGGGACTCGAGTCCTTCTTACATATGATAAATCGCGGAGATCAAGGATATGTGTATGAGGATTATATTCGAGGACAGATGTATCTGAAGACAAATCCACGATCTCCAGATCTCAAGTAGAATACGCTGTCTTGTAGTAGTCCGCCCTCTCTCTTCCCTAGAGAATGAAATATGTAGTTTAATTTTCTATTCTGACGAATGAGATCTGTTTGCCTAGTGTTATACCGTTTGTCGTGTGATAATGTAGTATCGTGATACTTGCTATGTGAGTTTAATAACATTGTTAGTAGTGAGTGATCTATACATACACATATTTTCTAGTAAGGTACAATGTTCGCAAGTGTCTGTTTCTAGATGATGGCGATGATTGATGATTAGATAGTGTTATTGGTCATTTCTTTACGACATTACGTGAGAACAGAGTACTCTCTTTACGATGTTTCCTCGAGAGTGAACGCATTTTTAATCGGAAGAAACTTTTACATACTTTGATGGGAAAGATACGTCACCACATTAGCCGTTTTAGGATAAAGTTCGTAGACAAATCCGAGTCCTAACCACGACCTCAAGCTTTTTTCCAAGTAGTAGCAGCATGTGCACAGCATGGCTCGAAGAAAGCTTTCAGCGTATTCCTTAACAGCATAAGCTTATGTTGATATAAAAATAACTATATATTTACGATTTATATATATATATATATATACTACTGTGATAAAAAAATAAGATGAATTTTTCATTTAAACTTCGCGGGTACTATAAAATCATGAAATTATTTTTTGGTGGGTTGGTAGCACTGTCTTTGACATCTATGCAGAGTTTCATGTCAATATATTCAATTGCTGCAGAGCTATACCTGTTTTTGTAAACATACAAAAGTGAGTTTTTCGATTTTTACTATGTCTGATTTTGTTTAGCGAAGAATTAGCATTAAATTTTGTTTGCGAAATGAATATTCTGCCGCGGAAACGTTGAGGATGTTGCAGAAGGCCTTTGTTGATAAGGCTATGTCGCAAAAAAATGTTTACAAGTGGTACAAAGATTTCAAAGAAGGCCGAGAACGAGTTCAAGACGAACAGCGCCCCGAACGACCATCAACATCTACCGATGAAAGCCACGTCAAGGAAATCAAACTGTTAACAAGGAATATTATTTGAGTGTTATGCATCGTTTGCGTGAAGCTGTTCGCCTCAAGAGGCCAGAATTATGGGCAGACAATTCTTGGTTTTTGCACCACGATAATGCACCGTCCCACATTGCATTGGTTCTTCGAGAACATTTCGCCAAAAATTCGACCCATATCGTTCCACAACCACCGTATTCGCCTAATTTAGCACCGTGCGACTTCTGGCTGTTCAACAAATTCAAAAGACCGCTCCGGGGACACCGTTTCGACTCGATTGAGGAGATAAAAGCCGAATCGAAAAAAGTATTGAAGGCCATCCTGGAAAGACTTCTCTGACTGTTTCGAGGATTGGACAAACCTTGGCATAAGTGCATTTTGTCGGACGGGGAGTACTTTGAAGGCGATGAAATTGATTTGGAAGAATAAATAAAGATTTTTCATTTTATAAACAAATTCACCTTATTTTTTGATCACAGTAATATATTAAAAGAGGTTGCACTCTCTTTATGTTAATGATCGCATAGAAATTATATCGAACGATTTCTATGCGATGCAAAAATTCTACACCGATCGATCTATAATATATACATAATATATGACACATAAATTCCAGTAATTTGTCGAAAGAATACTTTCGTGATCGTAAAATTTATTTTAGCTTATCAAACGTTTACCGTAACTTATAATCATATATCCTTTATTTATTATAAACATTGAAGCAAAATCGTCGTTGAAACCGCACGAAATATACTCTATTTGTTAATATAGAAAAATGGAAAATATCGATAGCTTTGTAACTTCATGATCGATCGGGCGATTCGGAATTTAATAGTTAATATCGTATCTCTTTGCTGTTTCAGGAACCTTGACTGTAAACGTGAGCGTTTTGCTGTTAAGTTTGGCTTCTCCCGACGAATCCAGTCTGGTAATATAATTATGTATTTCTTTGTTTTATATTGTATTATTATTAACGCAAAATGAAATGACACTTTTAAGAATTAAATTATTATATGTTTCGGTTAATTTCTGCTATTCGCCTTTAGATGGCTTCAGCTGCAAACGTAATGAACTATGACTACTGGAACTCATGCTATATTAAAGACGTTTTTTAATAGAATTCAGTCTGCCAAGGTTTACTTTCGCAAGCAGTGATATTGTTTTTAAATCAATTAAAAATGTTTTTTCGATATGTTCTCCTCCACTACTTTGTAAAGAAAACTGCAGCTGAAGCGCACCGAATATTAGAGGAAACTTATGGTGACTCTGCTCCATCAGAAATAACGCATGTAGAGATTGGTTTCGACGATTCGGAAATGATATTGATATGAAAGACAAGGAACGTCCAGGTCAGCCAGAAAAGTTTGAAGATGCAGAACTGCAAGTATTATTGGACCAAAATCAATCTCAAACACTCAAGAAATCGGATGAGGCAGTTTCGACAGTTTCTAACCTCAACGGGACATGCAACGGGAAAAATTCAAAAAGAAAAAAAATGGATGCCATATGAACTAATCAAAACGAACATGCTGAACCGTGTGTCCATCGCTACTGCTCTGATTGCCAGGCAGAGAAAAAAGTGTTTTTATATCGGATTGTCACTAGTGATGAAAAGTGGATCCATTATAACAATTCTAAACGTAAAAAATCATGGGTAGATTCAGGCCAACTATCTACATCAGCGCCAAAACGCAATATTCATGATCATAAGACATTGCTCTGTATTTAGTGGGATTAAGAAGGTGTTATGTATTATGAGCTCTTAAAATCGAATGAAACTGTTACGACTGACCGATACCGACAACAATTATACAGTTCGAAGCTAGCGTTGGATCAAAATATCACACAACAAAAGAAAAGTGATTTTGTTGCACGACAATATTCGGCCATATGTTGTAAAACGTCAAGGAAACACTGATAGAACTCGAATGAAAGATTCTTCCGCATATCGCATATTTTGCAGACTTGGTCCATTTGATCCTCACTTGTTCCGTTCAATGTAGCATGGCCTTCAAGACATACGCTTTCGAAATTACGAAGTCCGAAAATGAGTGAATGAATGGATTACTTCAAAACCGGAGTCTATCGCCGCGGAATTCATCTTTTAGCAGAAAGATGAGAAAAAGTAATATAAAACGATCGAAAATATTTTGATTAATTAATCAATTCATTTTATAATTGAAATAAATATGTTTTTCAAGCAAAAAAACAGCAGAAATTAACCGAAACGCCTAATATTTAACTTCAAGTGGTGAATAGTAGTCGCAAATGGCGGCATCGAGCATTTTGTAAAAGTGTCGATTACAAAATGTCAAAAATATTTGTAAATTGTGAAACGCGCGAAATAGTTCACAAATATATTATAGTTTTGAAATAAAATAAAAGCTAGATTACGTTTTGATCTTCTTCTTACTTTCACAGAAATACGAGGTGGAATTTCTGCTGCAGCAACAGTGGTACGATCCACGATTGCGTTATAGCAATAGATCCAAATATGAGTTTTTAAATGCGATTCATCATTACGAGGATATTTGGTTACCGGATACTTATTTCATAATGCATGGAGATTTCAAGGATCCCATCATCCCCGTTCACTTTGCCTTGCGGATATATCGTAACGGCACCGTCAACTACCTTATGCGGTACTTATAACATCAATATTTTATATGCTAAATATGCTAAACTGAACTAGATGAAAATACAAACATAAGAAAGCATTATCATGAAAGGTTTGAAAAAAACACTTTCACAAACTTTCTCGAGTTATTTGGAATCTATAACAATTAAAGTGTTACGTTTTCTTTATATTTATATGAATAGATTATATACTATTATATATATATATATATATATATATACTTTTCTTGCAGGCGTCACCTTATCCTATCCTGCCAGGGTAGACTTAATATCTTCCCCTTTGACGACCCATTGTGTTCATTCGCGATTGAAAGCAGTGAGTATCAAGTCTTCAGTTTTCTCAAGTCACATAGTTTTCGTCATGACCGCTTTATATAAAAAAAAAAGAAAAAAAAGTTGCATTGTCAATAGCTATGACTAGTTAGATTTATGCAAAACCACTTTTGTTCTATCTTTCAGTATCGTACGAGCAGACAGCAATTACGTATGTGTGGAAGAACGACGAGGGTACGTTGCGAAAAAGCCCGAGTCTAACATCACTAAACGCGTATCTCATTAAGAATCAGACAATCACATGTCCGATCAAAGTGAGCTGGCGAGGTGAGTGCACACAATCGCATGTTTTCGTAAATTTGTTCACGAAAGGAACGTGATTTGTTTAAACATGATATGTGCATCTTATAGAGAAGTTACTACTAGATGCACTCTGCAATTTACATTTTCATATCTTTGTGTTCTTTATTTTATGAATGACTGAAATATAATTTTTCCATGTCCTTTTTTCTCTATCCACTGAGATAAAATATCAATATCTGGATACTTTCGTTATTATATAGTTTTTAAATCAAAATAATTTAAATTTTAATATAGAATAGAAATATGTTCTTTTATGTTTTAAAGATTTAATTTTAGCTGTAATATTCAAACACTTTTTGTAAAGTAATTAAGTATTTTACTTATTAGTATAATGGAGCAAGAATTTTCGAATCATATTGATGCTTATAATGAAAAATAATGAATTATTCATGAGATTAATAAAGTTATTTTGAATTATAAGAATAAAAAAGATCATTTGTTAGTGAAAATTAAGTACATGTATATAGTTAATGCTCGATTTGGTTGGTGTCCCGTTCATCATGGATTAGTTTCCAATATTTCGTAAATATTTTAATTTACTTCTTCAAGCAGAGAAACAATCTGAACTCTTTCAGGTCGTTCCTCTCCCTGAAGAAGTGAACTGGAATGTTCACAAAAACATGTTCGGAAACAAATCCCAATATACGACACCAATTTGAGAATCAGATCAAATATTTAATTATTGTCTCATCGAAAAAAAGGTTTTAATATTATTTTATTTAATATCCTAAATGTTATTAATTCCACTTTTGGATTTTCTATATTATTAATATTAATATCACAAATAAAACAAATAAAACGACCTGAAAAAATGTAAGACCAATAACGTGTAGTATATTAAATAAGATAATAAAAGCTTTGTTGATGAAGTGATAATTATAAATAATTATATTATATTATAACTAATTATATATGAACACATTTTACCTTGATTTTTGTAGAATTGTTAACGTTTTTCATAATTTGGTATAAAATAAAAAAAGTTGTCGATTTTATTATAAATTTATTATGTAAATAAATATCTCCAGATATCGATACATACGTTTCATAAAATTTTTCATTTATTAAATATATTTTTAAATCAATATTTAATGAACGTATTTTTACTGTTGAATAATTTTCTTAATATGTACATTAATTGATTAAGAAGATTTTCTTTATAACTAAATTTTATTTTGTTTATAATTTTTATTTATAATTCTTTTCATAGTATTCTTAAATATCCAGAAATTGGCGTATTTACTTTACATCGCAAACGAATTTTCGTAAAAATATAATTCTATCAGAACATTCCTATTTTTTCTACAAATAAATAAACACGTTGGCTTTATTATAAATAAATATATTTTTTATTTTAAGCTTTTCTTTTTAAGCTATTTTAAGCAAACAATTAATGCGACATTTACAATAGTAATTAGATCGAAGCACCTGAGCCGATGCATTTTTCAAGCCTTTGCTCCATTCAAAGTGATACCAATCATCGTTTCTATTGACGCTTTGCCTTCTGATCAATAAATCCGACATTATTGCCGAAAAGAAACATCCTTAATCCCATATCTCCTATTCGCAACTATAAATTACAAAAGAGACATTTTTTTGCAATATCATTTATTTAGCATAAATTTAACTTTTTAATCTTTCAATTCAGTTAATCGTTAAAACACAATGACTTTGATTGAACATCCTCCGATAGTGAATCTTAATTCAAGTTCAAGTTTTATTTCATCGCTGTTATTGTTTTTGTTATTTACTTTAACCTCGTTTATTTGAGAACGATTGATGTCGTGGGTAATTTTTATGGAGCACTTGATTTTAATGAGATATGCCTAAAAGGTAAGTTCACACGCATGGAGATTATATAGCAGCGTACGTTATATTTCTATCCTGTTTTGTGAAATATGTAACAAGCTTAATTTCCTAAAATGTTCTAAAACTTTTAGTAAAATTAAAGCGCAGTTGGCATATTTTTATTTGATTATTTTTTTCAGCAAAGGAAGCATTTTGTGGGAATAGTAATATAGGGCTCCTTCGCGCAATATTTTACTTTTACGATCTATATATTGTTAATAATTACGTATATTTCCTTATGTTGAGACAATAAATATTTATACACATCGTAACTTTACGTATATTCTAGATTTATATACGATACAATACGATCTACAGAACGTGCTTGAAGTGTGTTAAATACGTTGTAATAATTTTATTTAATTTGATATTGTGATGAGAAAACGTTAACAGCGTGAATTAATTTCCAAGTGATACGTTCACTTGTTATTTATTGCTTTCTCAGAGGATCTTTCTTCTTTCTTACGTGTGTGTATTCTTTTTTGTGTTTTTTTTTTGTGAAATAAATCTGTCGCAAAGAGAAACCTATCGAGTGCCGCGCACAAAACGATACACGAGCACATAGTACATATATAGCTGTACATAGACGCACAAGAGAATCACTTGTGCATGTGAACGTAGCAGTGAACGAGTAATATATCCGTGCTATTTCCTCTCGTTTATTAGTTGACGTCATAACATTAGTATTTATATTTTGACAAGTGTATGACACGTACGGAAATAGATCCCCTAGATTGTCCTAGAAGATGCATATTGGCAACCTTGGATCCTGTCTCGCTTTTCAACTGAGCTGGCCGTGGTTTGCTTTTGGGGTGAGGCTTTCTTTCTTACGATGACTCTTCATTGAACGTTCTTCATTCCCGAAAACGTTCTTCCTTCGCCTTCTCGCGCTTGCAATCGATACGTTCGCTGCGGTATCGACAATTACAGCGAAGGATTTCGAAAAAAAAAAAAACTGCGAAAAATTCGTCGTGCTATTTTGCCGTGTGACAAATATAGAATTGCGTTTTGCCGTAATGTAAAAACTTTAATCGTTACTGATGGCTTCTGCTACGATAGAAATAGGATTTACGTGTATGTAAAAAACAAAAACAATTGACTTTGCTGGCAAGCTGATAAACTTTAGATCGCTTTTTGATCTTCGGGTCTACGGCAAGAGGCTTCCTACTTTGAGGTGTGGAATTTTGCAGCATGTCAGATCTATGGGTTGTTTTTAGCTACGTGCCTTTTTTCATATTGACATCTTGAAAACCATCTAATTAACGAAAGCTGCTTTCTGTCAAAATACGAGCTACGAATACGTCTCGTAATATATTCTCATTGTACCAAGCATTATCGTGCTTCTCGTATTACAGACCTATCTTTTGATTGTTATAGACGTAAGGAAACATTTAATCATAAATGCGAATGAAAAGAAATCTATAAATTAAATCATTATACCGGAAATATCCAAAGTGCAATTGTCACTAAAAGATGTCATAAAAAGAAACATCTAAACAAATTCATTGTCTCAAATGGTCGTATTAATTAATACGTTTCGCCCTAAAGGACTCAACCATGGTGGAAAATGAGTATGCTTAATCTGTTTACAGTGAAGGATATGCTATCATAGTTTAGTAAAGATTTATGGGTAGGGGAAGCGTACACGATCCAATAAGATACAAAGAACGTATATAGAATGTTGAAATTTGAATTCACCTTTGGCCTCTTATCTTCTCAGTATTAAAACTTTTACCAATTTTATATTGTGTATGACATTTACTCCTTCTGTCATTTATACGACTACTACTCAGTCTTGCATTGCATACAACATCGATACTTAACTCGTGTTAGATCATTCTGAACTAACTTAACATTGTCTAAGATTATTTTTATCATTCGTTAATATGCATATTTATTGCTCGTTGTACACAGGGATGAAAAAACATTATTGCAACCGCCGTAAACCGTTTAAAGTACAAGACTAAACGAAGGTAAAGCGACAGTAAGTTTTAGAAAATGATTCGTAAAATCCGCACGGGAAGGGGGGATGTAAGATTGATTGTTAGTAAGGTCTAAGCATTATCGTGGATCAAGCATCACATTCGGGCACTTTACGGAGGCCTAATCCTCCTTTCGAGAAAAGCAGCTAGAAAAATGCGAAAGAGAAAACACGAGGAAAAGATAGGAAGGAAGATCGTGGGCTGTTCTGTTGCAGCTGACGGACAGATCATGGTCGACTACGAGGACCAGTTCGATGAATTTGGAGACTCTAAGTGCTCGCTGTGCCAGCGCAGGTTTGAGGAGCAAGGTAAATTACTTCTATCTCTTCGACGCGAGTCTAATATTTTTGATAAAACAATTCGAAGAAGAAACAGTGAGGGAGAGAGAGACAGGACCAAGTTTACCAAACTCGAAATGCCAAGATGTCCCAAGTAGATTACTCGATGTTGCTTCGCATATAGCATTAATTTGCGGCATAAAATTGTCGCACAGTTGGCAGATGATAAGTAGATGATAAATTTACGATAAGTAGATATATTGACCATATATGGAGGTCATTAAATTGGAAATTAGATCATTGCGAATGCTGAAGCGCCGAAAATTTGTTTTTCTATGCATATTTAATTCTGCGTTGCAGGTCCTTGAGAAAGGAACAAACGCAAGAAAGGGAAAGGGAGATTTTCTTTTCATAAAAGTACATATCACTATATTTAATTTGGCATCTGTTGTTCTCATAATTTATATTGGTGCTTAATTCTTGATGAGCTTATGTCATATAGCACTAGGATTTGTATAGACTTTATCCGGGCGCAATTGGTTGCGGGCCGTGAAATTGGAATAGCCTTCAAATAAAATTTTTGTCGGGGTTTTATATCGTCATTACTCGCGTTATCCAGTATAAGCTTCGCTTTGTTTTCATATTATATTTTTATTTGCACAATGACCCTACCCTGAAATTTTTATCTGCGTTCTTAGATGAATATTTTCAACGTGAAATAAAAACCTTGCTTGAAATTAATTCCCAAAGCAAATCCAAATAAGACAGGAGCTTCAAATTATTTAACAATATACACAACGATGACTATTGCTTGTGTCGTAATTATCGAACCAATGCCTAGTATTATTCCGACATGGAAAATAAATCAACAAACATAAGCAAGAAAATGTATGGAGTGTAGGATTGTTCGTAACTGAAGTATTAGTTTGATGTTCCCCCTAATCGTAGATGTTCCTCTTCATGCCTGCCAGCCTTTTGACAGATCCTTCTTTAAAACCCTCACGTTAGTACTTTGCTAAGCTTGAAGTGCTTTCGCAAATGTGGAGTTTGGTGGCCACAAATTGAAAATGGTTACATGCTGTTTTCTACCTCTTTTTTTCTTCGTATATTGAAGTACACGCCTTCGAACAACTTCATCACTAGTTACGCAATAAAAATCCAGCATTATGTCACGTTTTTAATATCACTTTAATGTATTTAATTCTAATAGAGATATAAGTACATTATTACATACATACACTTACATAAGCAACAAAATATTTTTCCTAATTGTACTACTATAAAACAAAGAACAAAAGTGTGTGTGCGTGTTTGTATACATGTATGTATGTACATACACAAAGCAAGTAAAATAATTCATTACAAGTTGTTTTCTCCGAGACAACTTTGTCACTAGTTACAGTGGCAAAAAGACTCTAACAATATGGATTTGATTTTTTTTATATTAAATGGAACATATGAAGATTATTTGATATGTAAACAATTTTTGTGAAGGCTGTTAAGAAGACAAAGGACAAGTATGTTAAAAAAGATTGCATGGTGCCTTTTAAAATATTCAAGGTGACTTTGATTTTTATAAAGAAAATATTTTTCAAATCTTTTTATTGCAAGCTTAAGTGAATTAGATGAACGTTTACAACTTTTTCTTTAAACTATCGGAAGTGTTTAAAAAATCATGTGAATCGTTATGCTAAACACTTTGTACATAGGATATTAAAAAAAAAATGAGTTTAAAAATTTCTAGAGTAAATAGTACTTATTATATTGAATAAAAAATACTTAGTAAACATAGATCGAAGAATTATTCCTTTTAGAATTACAAACCGAGTTTTCCGAGTTTAATAACGCAAATTATTTGTACACTTTCTTTAATCATGTGCAATGAAGAAACAAAGAAATGAGTGTCTTAATATATTATTATTTTATTATTGCTTTGTTTGTAATAAATGTTTTATGTGAGCATTCTATTTCATCTCTATACATTTGACATCTTCAAATTACAAAATTGTAAATTCTCTCAAAAAAAATAATCCTGATATTCCTCAAATCTGATCAGTTGCATCTTAAATTCGCTGATATAATTCTCGTATATTATTTATGAGTCAAAAGTAAACTAAGCTTTTTACATCTCGGTAGGAAGAAATCCAGTGAATTGAATCAGGATATCAAGGAAGCTGTGCAACTAGTCCACTTCATCTAATCCATTCTTTGACGAATGTTCTACTTAAATGCTAAAGAGTCTCATCGCGCATGTATCATATTTGTAACCTTTCATCAAGAAACACATCAAAAAACAAAAATTATATATTTGTCAAAAAATCATGATAAGGAAGAACTACGCTTGAAAATCGATTTAGTAAAATCAATACATCGAAATAATAAAATGGTAAAATATTCGTTTATTTATTCACGCGTGATCAATGGAAGCACATAAATACTTGCGTTATCTAATAACTTGCGTTATCAAGAAAACATTTTCGAAAAATATTTATACTTCTGAAAGGATATATTTATTTTTCGACCCGTGTTTACTAAACATCCTTTACTCAGTACAATAAGTGTTATCTATTATATAGGACGTGTCACAACTCACAAGGAGAAGACAAGACATGTAAAATCGATAATTGAATGAGTCATATTTCATTCGAATGGGGGGGGGGGCGGGGAGTTGAGTACATAAAAACTCTAAAAGGGTTTGTGTGCATGGGCCTTCGTTTGCGAGAAATTTGCAATTAAAAAACAGCTTAACATGTTAAGTGTGGTAACTTGGAATCAATAAGCGCGAAGCACGGATAGTTGCGGAAGCTAAGGCGCCTGCTAGTAATTTATTGTCTACGTCCGAGGAATGTCCGAGTCCTCGCAGCGCCAACTTTTTTCTTTTTTATAATATTATATATTACGTATTAAGTATTATGTATTACTATATTTTATAATATTTATATAATATTTTTAATATTTTTATTATTTTCTATAGGACAAAAATATAATGCACACGTATACAATAATATCTATGTACAATAATTATAAAATTGAATTTTATAATAAATAATTAAAACGTTTATTCTTATTATTTTTTATATAATAAGACAGATATTATTGTATATGTGTGCATTATATTTTTGCTTTATAGAAAATAATAAAAATATTTAGTATTTACTAGGTGTGCAACTAAGTTTCCGGGTTTCACACATGAATGGCGCTAACGACACATGTAGTCGACATATGTGTACATGTCTGAAGTTGTGTTTTCTTTATAGCTTGGACATCTGTTAACAATAACCAGTTGTAATACCAACACATACCGCAACGCAAAAATATTTTCTCTAACAAGGAAGATGTCGAGTTTTGTGCCAAATAAACAGCATTTGCGGGAAGCTTTGCTTTTCTGTTTTAACGTGAAAAAAAGTACAGCTGAAGCACGTCGTTTGCTTGAGGAGGCCTACGGCAAACATGCACCATCGAAAACTACCTGTGAAGATTGGTTTAAACGCTTCAGAAGTGGCGATTTCGACACTGAGGACAAGGAGCGCTCCGGAAGACCAAAAACAATTGAGGACGCCGATCTGCAAGCGTTATTGGATGAAGATGATACGCAAACACAAGATCAACTTGCGGAGGTATTAAACATGACTCGCCAAGATATTTCCAAACATTTACATGCCATGGGAAAAAAGGAAGGAAAATGGGTGCCGCATGAGTTGACTGAAAGACAGATGGAAAATCGAAGAGCCACTTCCAAAATTTTGCTTTTGCGGCATGAAAGAAAGAGTTTCCTGCATCGAATTGTTACTGGCGATGAGAAGTGGATATATTTCGAGAATCCCAAACGCAAAAAATCGTGGCTTTCACTTAGCGAAGCATCAACATCGACGGCACGGCCAAATCGCTTCGGAAAGAAGATAATGCTCTGCGTTTGGTGGGACCAGAAAGGAATCGTGTACTATGAGCTGCTGAAACCGAGCGAAACTGTCAATGGGCATCGCTACCGACAACAACTGATCAATTTGAACCATGCATTGCTCGAAAAACGGCCAGAATGGAACACGAGACACGAACGAGTGATATTGCAGCACGACAACGCTCCGTGCCATCGCACTTTCATCGTCCAAGATACCATCAAAACGCTGAAATGGGATCTGCTACCGCACCTGCCGTATTCGCCAGATCTGGCCCCTTCCGATTATCACTTGTTTCGGTCGATGGCGCATGGCTTGGCTGGGCAACACTTGGCCAATTTCGAAGAAGTGCAAAATTGGTTGGATGAATGGTTTCGGTCCAAAGACGCGTCGTTTTATCGTCGCGGTATTCATGTATTACCAAAGAGATGGCAAAAATGTGTAGCTAGCAAGGGACGATACTTTGAATAAACCATTTTTTGTATTTCTCTTGAAATTTTCCATTTTTCATTGATCAAAAAAACCCGGAAACTTAGTTGCGCACCTAGTATGCATAAAAGGGGCGCCCTCCCCGATTTAATTTATTTAAAATATGTTGTTGGGGGAGTCATTCTGAGTCGTTTCATATACATATATAAGTGTCAGACGCAAATAGCTTCGGAGATACAAGTTGAGAAAGGATAGAAATAACAAGTATAAAAATAAATGTTTAATGATGATTTATTCAGTACTATCATTGGGAATTGGGAAGATTTCAGCCATTGCATCAAAAAATGTGATAATCGCCACGAAACTCACTTCATATGGAAAGTCGTATTGTTCTGTGTCACATGAGTTTGCGATTTTCCACGTGACGCAAGACCAATGACGTTCGAACAGACGAGGGGGGGTACGGGTGGGAGGCCGAAGGCCCCCCCGCACCCCTCTTCGGTGTGTGTGTGTGTGTGTATGCTTCGGTGATTCATTACTTTAAATAAATTTTCATATTTACTACTTTCATCGTTTCTCAACTTGTATTACCGAAGGTATTTGTGTCCGACCGTATATGTATATGAAACGACTCAGGAAGACTTCTGCAACAACATATTTAAAAATAAATTAAATCAGAGGGGGGCCTCTTTTATGCATAATTAC